GAATTAATTCAGTAGAACGCAGGGGGTGGGAGATATTCAAGTTTAGAAATGTCCTCTACAGAGGACAAAAAACGGTGGTTGGCAAAAAGTCAGGTAAGCATTACCGCCACCTAGTGGTATGGAGTGTGGTTCAAGATGTTTCAGTTTATAATATCGATATATACCTAAATATAATAAAACGAAGTATTAGGGCCATACTAATAAAAAATAAAATTATGTGGATAAAGTCATAATATTACCAGAACAAAGCTGAAATATGAGAATAAAGTTATATTATTTTAATTTTACCTTGTATTTTTTTTTTTTTTTTTTTTAAAATTTTTTTTGCATGAAACTCCATTGTAAGATAAATCAGTTGGGATCTTTTGTGAGTAAAAAATTAATTGTTACTGTATTATAACTTGTTGTAAAAATACCTAACCATTAACTACTGTGTTTTTTAAAACTTGACAAGGTGAAGCCCAACATTTTTACTGCCCCACTTGATTTATAGGTATGTAAAACCTTATTAGAAATTGCTTCAGTTTTATTTCAATTGTAGTGGAGACAAAAAAGAGCGAACACAAGAAGTTTGTTGAAAGAGATAAAACAAAACCAAGAAACCATAGCAACAAACAACATATGCATAAATAACAACAGTATCACAGAAAAATACAGGGAACAAGTCAATATAAGGCGTATTCAGTGGCAACAGCAGCCCAACGTAGTGTTGACAGATAGTGTTTACTCTCTCTGGTCTCATTATTTTTTACAGACAGGACCAAATTTATGATTAACACTGCAAAAACACAAAATCTTACCAACTATTTTTGGTCTGGTTTCTGGTGCAAATACCTTATTACACTTGAAATAAAGCAAAACCAAATTATAAGTCCGTTTTCAGAAAGACATAGGAGCTTGTTTAAGTCAATAATTCCTTAATGTAGATGAAAAAGTTCTCAATCGGCAGCTTATTTCAAGACATTTTCCTCCTGCTATTAGTGAAAAAATCTGTAAAATGGAACTAGAATTTGGTTGCTAGGTGACGAGTTGGGCTTGGCTGAGGTTGCTAGGTAACCACGCAGTGGAGTATTCCACCAGTGGAACTAGAACTTTTTCATCAAAATAAGGAATTGTTGATGTAAAACAAACTCCTATATCTTGCTGAAATGTTACTTACAAGTTAGTTGTGTATTATTTAAAGTGTTCTAAGATATTTCCACTAGAAACCAGACCACAATGTTTCTTTTATGTTTGCATAAAACATAAAAGAAATATAAAAGAAACTGCGTGACTGCCTGTGTAACAGAGCGGCATACTGATGAGCTGCATGTGTAAGTTGATAAGTTCCAGGTCAAGTGATCCTGTGGAGCCGTGCGTCAGGCTGTCGCTGCTTGTTCTGATCCCTGTGTCTGTGTCGGACGGGGATCACTGTCCAGGCCGCTGAAGGCTTGTTAAAAATCCATCGACTTGCTCAGAGGATCAGCTGTCAGGGCGGGTTTTATTTAACCTTAATCAAGATTTCTACAGGTAAAGAAGTTAAACATGTAGTTCACATCATTCTGTACTGCTTCTTGTTCTATGTGTTTCTGATTAACAATACAAAGTCTCACTTCTTCCAAAAAGACGCAGAACAATAAAAACGATGTTTTACATCAACCTGCCAGGATGAACCAGAAAACAGGAACTCGGAGTATCACTTTATAAACGGCTGAAGATGAAGTTGTGGATGTTTTATTTCAAATGTTGGGCAGGTGATATTTATGTTTTACTAGTTTCTTGACATCTGGGGCAGGTGAGACGTTACTGTGAGGTAACTGAGGAAGGTACTGGACCTAAGGAAAGACAGAAAACAGAGAAAAGTGCATTTCAACTGGACAACAGAAACAGAGCACATTTACTTGAGTACTGTACGCAAGTACATTTCTTGAGTATCTTTCCTTCACTTGTGTATTTATTTTTTTGGGAAACTTAGAACTTTTGACTCCACTTCAGTTCTGGTTTGCTCATCGGTTCTGGTTCCTATTGGCTCAGCATAATACAACACCGTGTCAGGAATATTGTAGAAATAAAGAGGAGGAAGAGTAAATTTTCCCCAAAAAACCTTTCCTACAACTATCAGGGAAATGTTTACAGAAAAAAATGCTCAGAAATTTTTAGATTAATCTCAGAAAATGTTGAGAAAAAGTTGAGACAATTCAGAGTTTTGATGAGTTGAAGATTTTCTATAAAAAAACTCAAAAACAAAATAGAGATTAATCTGACAAATTTGAGAAAAAATTTCCATGTTTTTTTTCTCTGAGATTTTTTGCTGAAATTTACTCAGTTTTTTATATCTACAATGGTCCTAAAAGTTTCTCCTCTTTTTCCTTCTGTGAGGCTTGAGTAAGTTTAAAAAAGCATTTTTTACAGGTGGTGCAGACGTTTTTAGCAGATTCGTCCTCCGGGTCAGTACATCACCAGGTGGTTTCAGCAAGTTACAAGATTCTGTGGAAGCATTCAGAAAACAATACAACACAGTACTGATATAAGAAAATATAATTTGTACTTGGCCTGGACTCTGGCTGAAAAACATATCACGATATAAGAGTTTCCTGTCAGTCGATATCGATTAGATTTTTTTTCTTTAAATATTTGAAAAACTGGCAAACTGGTGGAGTTATCTTTCCTATTTAATCCAGTTTTTACTCCACGGTGTTGTTTTTTAAGGAGCTATGAGGTGGCAAAACATTAAACTGCTGCTGCGCAAGTTACTGGACAGGCTGTTGCTAGGTAACCAAAGAGTGAGTGAGTTGCTAGGTAACCAAAGAGTGAGAGAGTCAGTCGATTCCACCAACCTAGCTTAGTTAGCCGTGAAAGGCTGAGCGGCTAAAGCATTTCCTCTGCCTACATCTCCCAGAATGCAGTGCGGTTCTGGATCTGAGTTCAGTGAGATTATTAAAAATTCTTTCAGACGCATTATCTATTGATATTGATCACCCATCTATCACAATATATATTATTGGTTTATCGCTCAACACTTTTGAATACTTGAGTATTTTCAAAACTAAGTACTTCAGTACTTTAACTTGGGCAAACTTTTGATCGAGCAACTTTTACTTGCAGTTAAGCAGGATTTTACCATGAGCACCAATACTTTTACTGAAGTACTCGAAGTACTTTGTCCACCACTGAAGTCTGATGAAGAAGTCTTTACCCCAGCTTGTCTGCGCCGGGACGCCTTGTCATGCCTCCTCCCAGGGCGCTCCACTTCACGGCCCCAGTTGGCCCCGCCCTCATCCTGAAAGTATGGCAGCTCCAGCAGCTCCTCACAGGACAGCCGCAGGGACGGGTCCATCACCAGGCAGGACTAGAAACACCAAACATCCATCTCAGCGCCGGCTGCATGCGTGCTAAACAGCTTTCAGGGGAGATTACGGTAGAAACGAGGCTGTGCTAATAAGAAGTTCAGTCTGAGAGATAAATAGTTACTACAAAGCAGGGGGTCCAAAGTGCGGCCCGGGGGCCAGTTGTGGCCCGTGGGCTGATTTCGTGCGGCCCTGAACTGCAATTCGAAAATGATACGGAGACTTTTCATTTGTAATTTTCTTAAACATGGAAAATGTAACGTATAACACAAAGTGTTTATATTTTTATAACCAAGATTTAACAAAAGTTAGAAGAGGCTTTTACTAAAATGATGCACCCAAATCAGCTTTTATTTAATTTAATAAACTTGATTAAATATAGTAAACATTTTGAAAGAAAGTGACACAATCCTGGTCTTTACCACTGAAACTTTTCTTTTAAAACAGTAAACATGCAAAACTTACAAAGACTTTTTTTGGCCATTGTAGATAGTAAAAAGTAAAATAAGAAAAATAGTAGGAGACAATAAAACTCAGAAATTTGAGAGTACATTTTCTACAGTAAACTTGGAAATTTCTGAGTTTTAAAAGGTTAACATTTTCAACATTTTTTCTATAAAATTTCGGAGATGAATCTCAATTTCTGAGTCTTTTGGTAAAAAGTCCCATTCAATTTTTGGAATTAGAATAAATATCCATTTAAAAAAAGGAAAAAAAATCTACTTTATTTGCCTGATTTCAGGTCTAAGAAAATCATCAACACACAATGTTTTTACAGCTGTTTACTATATGATGTCTTCCATGACGTAATTCATTATGAGCTGCCCAGTAACAAACTTGATCGATCGATCGATATCTTCTAAAGATGCAATTTTGTCTTGAAAGAGCTGCTGAAAATAAACTTCCTGTCAATAATATGTAAATAAAAAGTGAGTAAATTATTAATATGAATAAAATGTATAGTTTCAGAACGTGGTAACTTTGCGCCTGTGAGCATGTTCCATAATTTAAACGTTGCACTAAATTGGTCACAAACATGATGCAGATTAACATCTTTTTTTTAAAGCTGAATTTAAAATAATCTGAGATATTCTGAAAATGTTTCAGCGATTCTGATCTCGAGGGATTATTGATCGATTATATTGTAAATAAACGTTTCTTACCTTCATGACTGTCAGAGCTTGGGCAGACGCTCCATAGAATCGCCTTTCCAAAGGCTCCTGGGATGAAACGAGAAAAGTTAATGAATATTTTGACCAAACGCTGTAATCTTTTGGTTCAGCATATCTGTTTACCATTGTGTCCGGTTCAGGAATACTGACTCCAGAAAAGAAAACATTGGAACGGAAAATCTGTTGGTGGTGAGGAATCAAGTCACCTGGAGGACAAAATGAGATTAGAAAACATTTGGAGTCAATTTCCTTCCAACAAGTTCAAAACAAATCAGAAAAGCTGCACAGAGATGAAACATATTTTCCAAACGGTCTTCTTGAATTTGAAACAGTTTTACATTGCAGTAAGATTCAATCAATCAATCAATTATTCTAATCTAATTAATCACAATTAATCAGATTAATCAGCCCTAACGCTAATAAAATACATCTAAGTTTGGGGTAGTAAAAGTTTAAAGGGTGTGAATACTTCAGAAAGCAGCGCCATTCTTTCTGCAATTAGCCTTAATATTGAGTCTTACTAACTTAGTTGACAATTTTGTGAATAATCAATTAGTCACGAATAAGCTGATCAATCGTTTCAGCCTTAATGCTAATAAATATATTTAAATTTATGGTAAACAAAAGTTCGAAGGTGTAAATACTTTAGAAAGGAGTGTTGTTGTTCCAGTAAATGGTCTTTTTTTGAGTCTTACTAAATTATTTGACAATCATTTCAATAATCAATTAATCACAAGTAATCTGATTAATCATTTCAGCCTTAGTGCTAATGAAATACATTTAAGTTTGTAGTAATAAAAGTTTAAAGGGTGTGAATACTTCAGAAAGGCGCTGTATATTCATAACTTTGTGAAGAGAGTCTTTTTTTCAGAGCTGTTCTGAGTACCGAGAGTTTTTCGGATGAGGTACAGCTGGTCAACGTCAGACTTCCCGGGCCAGAGAGGGTTCCCGCTTAGAAGCTCTGCAAAGACGCATCCAACAGCCCAAACATCCACCGGGGGTCCATACTGAGTGTCCCCAACTAGCAGCTCCGGGGCCCGGTACCAGCGGGTCGCCACGTAGTCTGTGTAGTCATCCTCTGGTCCAGCTGAGTAAACAAAGGCACATAGAAAACACTCAAACAACTAAAAGAGAATTAATTGATGGTTTAGTAGATTAAAATGAGCTCCAATTGATTACTTAATAATGTCCAATTAGACATCATTTTAGTGTTGTAGTTTGGCCGCCATCCAGCAGAGGGCGCCGCTGGTCAGTCTTAACCGGAGCAAGTTGATACAAGATGGCGGCCGTACCAGGACTGATTAAACAGTCCGGTGTTGGATGTAAAATGCACTTTATGCGGATCTGTTTTCAAATATAGACACTCGACAAACTCCGTAAGTTTCACTTCAATTTCTCGCTCATTCAGCCAAACACGAAGCAACGTCAGGTTCTTAGTTGATCTGCTACGAAAGGGACGATGAGATGAGAAAAGCAGAGTAAATAACAGAGAAAGATTTTAACATGAAGCCAATAAGCAAGGCTGATGTTGGAGAGCAGTTGAGTTGAAGTACTTTAAGCATTCCTTCAAGAGCAACCACGGATACTTCGGTACGAAAGTAAGAGTATCACTACTTATTTTTACTCAAGTAAAAATAAAAGTAGCTTTCCAAGAAATTACTCAAGGAAGAGTAAAAAAAGTATTCAGTAAAAAGTCTACTCAGATACTGAGTAACTGATTGTTAAATTATAAAATGATTGATTAAATGTAACTAGTTCCTACCCAACTCTGTATAAATATGTTGAAGTTTAATGTGAAAAAACACAACTTTCTGTTTATTATCCGTACAACTGACAGACAACAGTGTTAACATTTAATGACTATACAATATGAAATATTAAGCCCATCAATAACAATAAAATTACGACTTTATTTGTTTGATTTTACTTTAATTTTTATTTTCTTGGCCTGCCAGTTTTTTTATCTGAACAATTTTGGCCATTAATATAAACATTTACTCAAGATACTGATCACTAACTAACATAGAGGAAAGGATTACACAGCATGTTGACATGTGGATGTATGGTAAGGTTACCCTGAAACCTGAAGCAGGAGACAACACACACACACACACACACACACACACACACACACACACACACACACACACACACACACACTGACTGACTGCTCCTTTTGTGCAAAGGAGTCATTCAAACACAATAAAGTGAGGAGGCTATCAGCAAAGACCTGCTCCATGTTCCGTGCTGAATAAGTCATTAGAGCTGCATTAACACTAAACGCACATAAACACGCTGGCCTCTGAATAACCTTACTCAGAATGCGGGCGAAGCCAAAGTCACACAGCTTGATGACGCCGCTTTTAGTGAGGAGGATGTTCTCTGGCTTTACGTCACGGTGGATGCACTGAAAAAAATAAAAGAATAAATGAGGCAGGGCGTCAGAAACTATCACAGAAAGTAGGTTTACAGCAGAGAAATAAGGTTACAGTGTGTTATGGACGACAAAATATAAAATATATGAGAAAGAAAGAAAACTACAGACAGTTAAAAGACTTTAAGGCAAAAGTGCCAAATATACTAAATTGCTGCAGGTGTTTTGTCAAATCAGACTTTTACCAAAAAGGTGACTTTGCTGCAGCCAAATCAGCTTTTGTTGAATTTGTTAAAGCGTTTTGAAGGATCCTGTTTTAATAACTGAGGATAAATTTGTTCAGTCGAGCCCAGGACAGTTTCCTTTCAGTGCAGCAAAGTCCTTTTTCTGTTTGGCTCAACAATACAATTAGGCGACTTTAATTGTGTGATTTTGGTTTAATTTTTATTTTCTTGGCCTGCAATGAACAATTTTGGCCCATGTGGCAAAAAGTTTGGACACCCCTGCTCTAATTAAAAATACTTCAAATATAAAAGTGTATATGTCTGTTACAGAAGAATGTTTATATTGCAGTAAAAAACATCCACTGACGTTGTGCTTGTGACAGAAGTTCACAGCTTGCAGAGTCTGCCACACGATGCTTTTCAGCTGAGCCTCCGGGACCCTGCAGACAAACCAACACCAACTCACTCCTCCACAAGGAACTCAACTTTCCCATCTAATACTTCAGGCATTAAAAACAACACCCAGGTAACCATAGGCCATCTCAAACAGCAGCAGCACCTTCGTTTCCATGAGCAGCTAGAGTTTCTGCTGCACTGCCTTATGGGAAAAAACCCAGACAACAAGTCATCGTGGTTTGGTTTGCTGTCTGAGCTCTGAGGCAAAGAGAAATACATAACTTGATGTTCTGATTAAAAACTCTGAGTGGAGTTGTAAAGTAAAAAAGTAAAAGTACTTTGTTACTGTACTTAAGTTGAATTGAGGTACTGTTGGCAGCAAAGCACTCCGTACATTTAGCTGACTCTGTGAGTGGGCAATGCCCTCCAACACCCACCCATGCTGCAGGGCCTGCATAGAACTACCTACCGATGTGCTGTAATCTGCAACTTTTCTTTAGTGGATAGGGCCCCACTAAGCCCAGGGGCCCCACTAAGCCAGGGGCCCCACCAAGCCCAGGGACCCCACTAAGCCCAGGGACACCACTAAGCCCAGGGGCCCCACTAAACCCAGGAGCCCACTAAGCCCAGGGGCCCCACTAAGCCCAGGGACTCCACTAAGCCCAATGGGCCCCACTAAGCCCAGGGACACCACTAAGCCCAGGGGCCCCACTAAGCCCAGGGACCCCACTAAGCCCAGGGACCCCACTAAGGCCAGGGGCCCCACTAAGCCCAGGGACACCACTAAGCCCAGGGACCCCACTAAGCCCAGGGGCCACTAAGCCCAGGACCCCACTAAGCCAGGGGCCCCACTAAACCCGGCCCCATTGGAGAAACAGATTTCTCTACAGACGGATGCTCCACAAAGGAAATGTTTGGTCAGATTTAATCCCAGATAATTATCTAAAACGATTAAATGTCGTCTTGTACAGTTTATGTAAAAACCTGATTTAAAATGTAATTAAAATCTTGTTAATAACAGAATGTTTATTTCTGTTATTATTGTTCTTCAATCTATTCATTTGACAGATGCATTGAAAAGCGAACCACATGGTTGAATCATAAGTATCCTAACATCACTTCTACAAATAATTATCTCCCCAATTCAGGATTTACTGTATGAGAAATAAAATGCCTTAAATCACAGAAAGTACTTAGTATGACGAATAATCTGAATGAGGGAAAAATAATGCCTTCATGCACAAATAGGAGATTAATTTTTATTTTCCTGTGTAATAAAAACAGCGATTTTTAAATTTATTTTTAATTTAATTTTATGTTCCTCCTTTCCGTAGACAGATTTTTTTTCTTTTCTTTCCTTGGCAAGCATGAAATGACGCAAAAGAATCCAAATCAGCCAGGAAAATTAGGATTGGTGCAAATCTGATAATCTCCTTTAAAGAAATTCAAACAAAAAGCTCTTTTGCATCCAGTAAACAGATAATTCCCTGGACTTTAGCAGGGCTTATTTTAACTACGCCTGTCACATTCACACATTTTGCTGGAGGTTAATTTGTCCCAGACATTATTGTGATAAACGACAACATTGTTGTTGTGAAACCATTTTCAAGTAATGCCATGGTAATAATGGCATAATAATGCAAGAACATGTTCTCAAAGATCAATAAACTTTAAATTCTGATGAACATTTAACACTGGAACTAAAAGACATTTAAATATCCAAAATAAATAAACAAAACCAAATAAACAACAAATAAAATTATTAATGAAGTAAAAACAGCCAGTTGTTACCAGAGCACCAAATTAAAGACTTTTATCATCCAGTTTTTGGTAGAAAGAGAGAAACAATAAATTATGGAAATGGTAATTATTGAGCTCAATTTAATTTATCATGCAGTTAATTGATTTATTGTGACAGAGCTTTGATGGTGAGTTTATCTTACCCTTCGGGGTGTTTGTCCAGCTCATTGAGGACCGTCTGTTCGCAGAACTCAAACACCAAATGGAGCCGTCTTTTTCTCCTGAAGACTTCCAACAGGTTGACCAAATTCACATGTTTAAGCTGCTGTAAAACCAACAGGTGAAAAACAAAACAAAAGCTATAAGCTAAGGCTTCATGTTTTACATCAAACCTGATACTTTAAGGCGACACTACGCCTCTCACCTTAAGCATACGAGTTTCTCGCTGTGCAATCTTTTTGATGACAGGATCATCTTCAGACTCCACAAACTTCTTGATGGCAACTATCTGGCCTGTTTCTTTGTTCCTGCACTTGAACACCACACCATAGGAGCCCTCGCCAATTTTGGCCAGTTTTTCATATTTCTCCATCTTTCAAGTTACTATCTGCAGAATAGGCAAGGAAAAAAAATAGGACTCAGTTTTCAGCAGACTGACCGGATGATTGCTTCTAAAGTCAATAATTCATGCAGACCGAATGTATTCAAATTGTTTTGTAGATGATGAAAACGCGCTTGCACATACTCACGTGCAGAATCTAAATTAGCCTCCAAAACAGCAAAACAGTTTTTCTACAAATAAAAGTTCCCAAAGCGTCTCACAGGTCTTTGTCCTGTCATTGTCAATGCTTCACTAAGAAGGTCACTGTGCAGTCTGCTCTTTTACTGCGTCATTACTATGGTAACCGCCCGAGGATTGTTTTCCCTCTTCGGGGCTCCGTTTTCTAATTTATACACATTTCAAATGACAGTAAATGTTTAGCAGGCGCCTCTGGTCTTCGTTTAGGCGGAAAGCGGTCAGATAAATAACTTAACTTCACCTCTAATAACAAACGTGGGGGTTAAAATAAGCAAGGATACAAAAACACATGGCAATTCACAAAGCTACGTAAGCTAAAACCTCTTACGTGGGAATACGTACGCCGTAACCATGGAGAAAAGCAGTGGGAAACGGCTTCAGTAAGCTGACAGTAAAATACACAATATTCTGCTCGTTTAGTGTTGAATTCATGGACTTACTAGACAGTAGAGCTAATGTCGAGGAGTTGCCCAACGTTATTTAAAAGTCTGACAAATGGAGTAGGTTTCTTTTGGCTATTTAGAAAAGTTGTACAATTAGCATAAAAGGTTAAACAAACGCACCAAGATTGCTACGTAAACGTAAACACGTACGTAAGTTCACGTTCTGTAACCATGGAGAAAATAAGTGGCTAACCATAGTGGCTAACAGTAAAATATACCGAATCCAGCCAATTTGGATTTATTTTAATATATTTAAATCGTTTAAGTAGACACAACATAATCATCCATATATTACGAACGTAGGAAATTGTGCCAACTATTTTTATTTAAGTTCTATGATCGTTTTAGGCGACTTGAAGTTTCGTTGGTTGTAACCATGGAGACAATAAACACCATGCTGTTAGCTAGCTGTTATTATTTTTGTAACACTGAATCTCCGGTAAAAACCTTCTTTTCCCCCCAAACGAGTCACTAATTTTATATGTTTTTGTATTTTATTTTAGGTTTCGGCAACTTCTCTAATTCAAGTACTTCTCTACTTCTCTCACTGGCCTCCATTCATTTTAAAGTAGGCGACTGTGGTTTACTATCCAAATAAGTTCAGTTACTGTTAAGTAAATAGTCTAAAAACTGATGGGAACGCAGCCTGTGACCCAAAGAGACCAAACATTAGAATAAAAGATACAAGGCACAAATTCAGATTAGAGTTAGAATAATGACAAGTAATCATTTTTATCTCAAAATATAAGAAAACCTTTTTACTTAAAACTATGAAAATGTGGCCATATGCAACCTCTGCTTCCAAATGGGTAAAATGTTGTAAAGTTTGTCTCTGAATGTTTTATTGTTTTGTTTGCAAATGTAATTTAAAAAAAGAATTACAAGGAACTAAATATTCAAAGTTGGTCACAATTTTTTTAATAGTCTGAAACTAAGAATAACAAAAGTTTGTAAGTGTGTATTGATTGAGAAAAGAGCACACAGCTTATTATTCTTTTCCAATGCTTTCTTGAAAGTTGTAACATTTTCAGTTGAGATTATTTATGTCTTTATTCATGTCAATTGTAAAACATAATGTGCCATAAAGCTGTATTATATTTTGGCCTTGATGACATAACGTCAACATTGAAAGCACATCAGAGAGCTTCAGAGAAGCTACAGCTCTATGTGGAAGGTCAGCTCTGATGTGGTTACATGATCTATTGACTGTCATCTCTGTGTTGACTGAAAACACCTCCTCCTGTCATCCCTCTTCAGAGACTTTGCCGTTTCTCCACATCTTCACTCTGAATGATGGGAAAGCAGAACATGAAGCCCTCCTGACACAGGCAGGCACCTTGAGGTTCTGGCATGGAGGCCTAGTGGTAAAATACACAAGGTATGAAATGCCTCATGGTAGCTTGGTCAACATCGCTGCTTCTGGAGACACAGTTGCTGTTTTCAGAAGCCCATCCTTCCAAACTCTGGTGCATCTGTTTTGACGTATTGTCTTCTATTATTACAAATTCCTATTGCTTTTGCTGATCGTACTGATGTAAGACAAGCAGTGTTTTTACTTTCTGTGAACATTGCTCAATCGACACCATTTCATAAACGCTGCATTGGAAATTTGTTTGTATAACTCCATCAGACGCATGACTGAATGCTAACCAAAACAGAAGGGGAAAGTACTTGAATTGTTCCTTGTCTGACTCCGCTGTTTTGATTTTTATCTGTTGTGTGTTCCTCTTCTTTTACTCAGCGTGTTTCCTGTTGTTTTGCTAAACCATAAACACCCATTTAATCAAAATAAGACCTTTGAGTTAAGAGTGAGAACCCTAAACCCGTTGGTGCCTCTTTTTGAGGCCTATAAATTTGGTCCACCAGATGGCAGTATTCGCCAATTTAAACTGAGATTTTAAAACAATAGGCGCTGACATTTAAAAACATCCCCTAGGTAGTTTCAAGCTATTATCAGTGAAGGCAATCGGACGTGAAGCGGCGCGAACATTAACCGTAGTTTCCTTTACTGAATGAACATTGTTATCTGGGGAACTTTTAGGGGTTTTTTTTTCAGTTTGAGTGTCCTCCTTTTAAATGTCATCATTCAATGAATAGCTCTTTCTTTAAAAAAGCAATACACACTAATTGGAAGCGCATTTAGAGCAAAAACCTCAAAACTAGACAATGCACTTTCAGTTTGTTTCCACTGACAGAGCTGCAGCAGCTGAAACCGTCACTGGTTTGTTTTAGTCTTGCCTTCTTTTAGAAAATACACAATCCAACCTCTAAAGAGCACTTAGACCTGGGAGAGGGCACCGCACAACCCTGCCCTGCTGGCTCTTCACCTCATCAAATTCACATTTCTGGTTTCTAAACCTGCTTCCCTGGAGCTGGCTCTCTTCTTTCATCTGGCATTGAGTTGGTTGCGGCCCTTGTACCGTGCCTGACTTGTTCGGTCTACTAAGGCAGAGCAAAGCAGGATCTTGATAAAAACACAAGCGCAAGGCAGCAGAACTCAGGCAGATGTTGCCGTTAGCTTCATTTCCTGGGCGGAGAGCTTCTCGCTCTATTAGACGACTAACAGGAACAAGAGAAAAAAAATAAGAGGGGAGAGAGAGAGAGCGAGAGAGTGTACAAGTTATCTGAGCTCGGAGCTCTCACAAATCACTTTTTTGAACAGCAAGCTCTGACAGGCAGGGGGGGAAACAGAGAGCAGAGACAAAGGAAAGGTGTGAGTAGGGAGCTGTGTCACAGGAGAAGGTGTGAAGAAACAGTAGAGGGCATAAACGAGGTGACACCGGTGGATGGACGGAGGAAAAGCTGCGCTCCAGTTCCTCCTGCTGCTGCCGGGGTTTTCTGCTGCTGTGTCCGGATGGTTCTGTCTCGTAAAGAGAAGGTGTGTCTGATTCCTGAAAGCTTCCTCCGGGACAGGGTTACCTTGAGACTGACACTCTCGCGCTTCGGACCGTAGGCCTGTTTGCACTTCTTTTACTCTGACGCAGTGTGCACTTGCAGATGATTCCTCCGCGTTATCATGAGAGCAGATAGAGAGGCAGCTGGCGTGACATTGACGCGTTGAAAGCTGGTTTAATGCAGCTGCGCTCAGATCACATGCTATTATTTGTAAAAAGAGGTAGTCAGAGCTGAGAGTAATCCTTGTTTGTCACATGTTTTTCTGCAGGAACAACCCTACTACTACTTTAGGGTGTATATTTCTCTTTTAAAAGTCTTTTGAGAATACTTATTTGATATTTAATCCACCCAGAAAAGTAATTTGTTGACTTTTGGATGGTACAGAAAGGACAAAAGGCTGTGGCAGGTTAATAGCCTCTAGGCACAGAGAGTGAGTAAGTCAGTGTCTGCCAGCACTCGTAATCATTTTCACTCATTGGGCTTCAGCTCTACTCACATTTGCTCCACTTGCCTCCGGGGACATGTAATAAGAGAGTGCTTACTGAGCAATACGGCACAGAGCTGACACGTGGAGAGGTATAAACTTGCTCTGAGCAAGACAGGATTACGCTAAATATTGCAGGTGGAGGACCGAAAATCACGATCTGGTCTGCGAGTACAGAAGACGACTGAGAGCTGTCAGACTGTTTCTGACGGATGGGTGTTGGAGAAGTCATGCGAGTGTTTGGGGGGCTTTCTATGCTTGGATGAGCTTTATTTAGCTTTTGACAGCTCTGCTCTGGACTGGCTTCACAGTGCGGCTCGTCATTGGGTTACCTCTGTAGCTGACTCAGACTGGCTTAACTCTCGCAGTCTGCCTGCCCACTCCGATTCTCTCTCTACCTGCCCCTATGCAAACAAGACGAGTGTTCGGTGGTTTTCTCAGCAGTATAGGGACAGCTGGGGCACTTTTTGGACTCTCCACACTGCTGTAATTGTTCTGTTGTGTGTAAACACCTTGCGTCAGTCACACCTCTCCTCTGGAGTGATTCACTATTCCCAAAGCATCCCTGACTGGAGGCAGGTAGCAAAAGAAAAAGGTGAGGCAGGATTTGCTAACGCTCAAAGTGCAGAAGGTGCTGAGTTGTAAAGTTGCTACAATGAAGCTGGGATTCCTGCTGCTGATGGTTCTGCACATGCTGGACACCGTGTCCAGCATGTCCACATGTAAGACTGTGGACCTGGAGATAGTGAGGCAAAAGCGCATCGAGGCTATTAGGAGCCAGATCCTCAGCAAACTGCGTTTGCCTAAAGCTCCTGAGCCAGAAGAAGCTGGAGACGAGGAGGATATCCCCACCAACCTGCTGTCCCTCTACAACAACACCAAGGACATGCTGAAGGAGCAACAGCTCGAGTCCCAGATCACCATCTCCCAGGAGCAGGAGGAGGAAGAGTACTTCGCCAAAGTGCTGAACAAGTTCAACATGGCGAGTAAGTACAAGTTAAAAGGCAAGAGGACATAAATCATGAATCCTAGAGCACTCTTACCCATTTTCAAGAATGAGGGCAATTGTTGACGGCCTAAGGATGGCTGTAAGAATGTCAGATAATTATATGGCTGTGATTTATGGTCCTGCATTCACCGGCACTCGCAGCATGTTGCACAACATGTCGAACACAGAGCAGAGTTTGGAGAGCCAAAATCTCTTTGCTTGAAAAAAGAGATCCGTGACCTTCAAACTGCCAAACAACTCACTCAACTTTTAGTGGAGTTCAGAGAATCTGGAGCAAGATAGCTGCCAAATTGATGATGAAATTTGCTTTCTCATAAACGTCCAAAACTCACAGAGGAACTAAAGTGTCTGATAATGATATCTAACCCAACTTCACCATATTCCTAGCCTAGCCTAGCCTTCCTATATAAAATTCCGCTCAACTCTCATCTCTCTTCATCTGGGATTTCTCCCATTCAACTCGATTTGTCTGGTTGAATTTCAACCAATCAGGAAATGAAGTTGATTTTCTGAGTTGTTTTAGAATTATAGTCCGCCTCTATCTTTAGAAACATCAGCGGACGACGTGAATGAAGCCGTTCAGTCCGTGTTGGTCACACTTCCAAATATTGAATTAACATTAACAGCCATTTTTTCAGCTTGGCACTTCATTCATTGCAGTGGAGGATGGTTGTTTGCAGTGCAGGCAATTTCCCACTTGCTTCATAGAGTCAAACCGCCGTATTACATGTGACATGGGAAAACGCTAGCGTTTGTACGCATTAATACATACATTTGAAATTGTCTTGGCACTACAG